CTTCTTGAACATTTCCCACAATTCAGTTCACATTTTATCTGTTCTAAAAAAGCTATCAGATGTTTCTTTTTTTTTATTTTTTTTATTTTTATTTATTTATGATAGTCACACACACACACACACAGAGAAAGAGAGGCAGAGACATAGGCAGAGGGAGAAGCAGGCTCCATGCACCAGGAGCCCGACGTGGGATTCGATCCCGGGTCTCCAGGATCGCGCCCCGGGCCAAAGGCAGGCGCTAAACCGCTGTGCCACCCAGGGATCCCCCTATCAGATGTTTCTAATAACTCTTCCAACTTCCCAATTCTACTTTTCCCTAAAACATTTTGCCTCATAGTTTCACAGATTTAGGGCTCCAGCCTAAACACAATTTATATATATAATTTAAATATTCTGTTAATTCTTTCTCATACACTATACTGTTTTATTTCCAACTGATTCCCCTAGTTGATGTCTGGATAGAGACAATACAGCTGAGTTAAGTGTACAAAGTCGGAAACTAAACTGCCTGTTTAAAATCCCACCACTTAATATCTGCATGACTTTGAGCAAGTTATTTCCCTGTTCTTCAGCTTTCTCATCTATAAAATGAGGATAATAGAAAACCTGTCTCATGGGATAATTGAGATATAGAGATACAGATCTATATAGATATATAGTTGTAGTTATGTATGTGTGTGTGTGTAATAATACCAGTACATAAGAGATCTCTCTTGGCTAGTATTTTTTTTAAGTAGGTTCCACACCCAATATGGGGCTCCAACTTATGATTCTGAGATCAAGTCACATGCTCCAACCACTCAGCCAGCCAGGCACCCGTAAGTGTTGGTTATTATGCATGATATCTCCTTTTGTGTAATGCTTAACGTCTCTTGCTCAAATTCTACCCTTAGTTCTTGGGTCCCATCAGTTACAAAGTCCTGTCTGTCCTTTCATAATACCTCTCTCATCCAGCCATTCATTGGCATTACTAGTTTCTCTACTATAGTTTAAAGTGAATTGGAACATAGGAAATCTAAGATATGTGTAATAGGGAATATAAGGACAGTTTGTGGGGATTTTTTGTTTTAAGAAATCTCCATGGTTTAGCTAATTACTAGTACTGTTTCTAGAACCTTTAAAATAGAGGAAAGCACAATAATATGAGTGGTATTACAGACTTTGGAGTCAAAAGTCTGGGCTTAAATCCTCAGTAATACTAAACTAAGAGACGCTGAACAAGTTAATTTTCTGAGCTTCAGAGCACTTATCTGTAAAGATAGAAGAATCTCAGAATTAGGATGATCAAATGTAACTTATAAAGTGCTACATAAAGGTTGAGTAGTAAGGATGGTGGTTTTAGATGTTTACAATTTGTTGTTGGACCCCTAGGAATGGTTGAAACAACTTCTAAATTTGTGACTCCAGCCTACACCTCTCCTTTTGTCCCCTCTGAAGTGCCAAAGCAATTGAAAAGCAGATACCGGAGCCTCGCAGAACTGTGCTGGGGACAGGGCTTTGATGCGGGGCCACAGAGGGCTTCAGAATTAAATACAACCACGAGGCACAGGTGGACCTTAAAGTACCCTCCTAGCCAACAGGCAGGTCTGAAAAGAGGGACCAGAAGGGACCAACCCCCACACACCCACTTCCTTCTAAAACTGTGTTTCTCAGCCTTATCAGACCCAGTGTCCCTTGTAACAAGGATTCTGTAAAGCCCCTTTAATCTCCTAGAATGCAATTTGTAGAAAACATAAATAAACATCAACAGGATGCTCTGATTTGAATAAGAGAATGAAAAAAGGAATTTAAAATAAAATAATATCTATTTCAAAAAAAAAAAAAAAGCCCTCTCCTTTGGGCTCCATACACATATGTCCAATTGTCTCCTCTTGGGTATCTCAAATGCCCTTTCAATCTATTCTTTAAAGAGCAGCATGAATATTCTTTTGGAAATATGAATTTAATCATGTTCCTACTTGAAAACCTTTGCTTCCCATTTCATGCAAATTCCTAATCACAATAATTATCCCCTGTTTGATCTAGCCCTTGCTACGTCTCCCACCTCATGTTCTCCATTTTCTCCTTTTCCCATAACACTCCCACATAGAAACTTGCCTCAGTTCCTTGCTAATCTATCTCTGTTCTCTGGCTTTGGTACATACTGTGTCCTTGCCTGGATCACCCTCCTACCTTTTCTCATGGCTGTCTCCTCAGTCCTCATGTCTCAAAATTCTACATACCTCATTTTTAAGTAGAGGTCTCTCCTACCTCTCAGCTACACGCCCGCCCCCCGAGACTCACAGTTACTATTTTGCCCACTGTTTCCTCCATAATACCACGCTTAAGTTACATGTATATTTGTTTGACATTTGTTTTCTTATTTATTAACTAACATCCTCACCAGCATGTGGTAAACTCCAAGAGGCAAGAACTATGTTTTGTCCACCACTGAGTTTGCAGTATGTGTTTCAGTGCCTGAGGTGAATGAATGAATGGATGGATGAATGATACATGAGATAAAAGGTAAAACATGCTAAAAAGAAGGTTTTTAGGATTATCTTTTTAGGATATCCTAGATTATGAATGCAGGCAGCAGATTATAATCCTGTCAAGCATTAGCCTTAGTAGTGTGTTTTAAAGTACAAAAGGGAGACAAGCTGAAATCAAATAGTGAAATATGATCACTCTTAATAACCGAGAATGTAAAGGAAAAGTTAAAGAATGCACTGAAGATGTATTTAAGGGGTTTGATACCAAGTGCTGCTCAATCACCTAAGGATCTCATTAAAACAAAAATTCCAATTCAGTTACTCTGGGATGGGTCTTGAGATTCTGATTTCTCACTAGCCTCTGGGAATGCTGCAAATTCCAGGACTACGCTTTGACAAATAAGGCACTGTCAAGTAGGGAGGGGAATTGCATGGTTGGCAGCAAGGAATAGAGAAAAATATTAGGTTGAGATATATGAAATCATCCCTTTTTTGTAGGTCGAAAACAATTGAATATTGGCAATTTCAAAAAAAGAACTTTTAAACTTATATCCCATTAAATAAAAATCACTCAATAAAATGGAAAACAAATATTAATTTCTCAGCATTCTGACAAGTATTTATACCCTACTCTCACTATAAGTGAGAATGTATAAATGAAATAGCATATGGAAGTAGAACTGACCTGCAATGGCAGGCACGAACTTGCCAGAATAATGTGTATGGGGGGAAGAGGGGGGAATGTCCGCATGGACGCATAATTTGAAAAAGACCAACTGGAATCAACCAGCCAAATTAAGATATGCTATAATTTTGTGATTTTTATAAATATTAGTCTTCGTTAACTGTTCTTGTGAATAAAAACTTACTGCCACCTGGTGGATCTGAGTTAAGAGTTAGAAGGGAAATACATATCTTTTCATTCAGGTAGCTAAAATACTATTAATACTTCCTCTGTTAATTTTAACTTGAAAAATAGACAAATATGTATTTACTCTAAAGAAAAAGATTACACTTGGAACTTTTTGCATTTGGTTTTAACTGGAGATGCAATAATGTTGTTACTTATGTACATTACATGGTATTAAAGTTATATTTTAACTTTATAATATGGCTTTTCATTTCCACAACTTTTATTGTAGCTAGAAACATGTCCATCCATTTGTTAAAGAGAATTTCAAGAGTTGAACCAGTATAGATTATTATTTTCTCTTATGTATGCATAATGCTATTAAAAAAAAATCTGTGCAACTCAATTTTCCATCCTTTCATCCCAAGATGTAGGTTTTCAAAAGCCCTTAGCCATCTCAGAAGAAAGACATCTTCCTAATCCTTTGCCAAATTAGATCATCTGATTTTTACCTTACCTGTTACCATATTCAAATCTGTATTTAACTTTCCTCCCACTTCCTCATTGTCCAAAGCCTCTGATTCCTATTACCCCATCCAACCCCCGACAGGAACAGCAGTCTTTTCTTGACTCCATGTCAAATGTCTCAATTCTCGCCAATTTACTGTTGTAATTTAATCATTTAAACTTAGTATGGATTCTCACAAATATCAGTGAACATCCACAATCCGAATGATAATGAGTCATCATGTATATACAAACAAAGTAGAAGAATAAAACCTGTTACTGAACTATTTCATGCTGGATTTACCATCTTTAAGAGTGCTGCTCATTACTAAGCCAAGATAAAACAGCCTGTAGGTCTCCTGCAGTGTCCTAATATTGTATACTTTTTCATGATGATGTCTTCTGTGATTAGTATTAAAACATGGGGAAGCCTTACAATATATTTGTCTCACTTCTCCTAATTTCGAAACTTTACATGTCATACACTTCTGATTCTATAGTCATCAGTGAGAGTACTTAGTAATTTTCTGCTTTATAACAGAACTATTAAAAACAATGAGTACAGATGTTTCCTATGTACTTTTCAGAATCCTTAAATTGTGTTTTTCTAATGAGTGGTTAATCTTTTTTGTAACAAGAGATTTAAAAAAAAAAAGCATGGTCATAAATTTAAGTATTTTCACTCAAGGCCCCTAAATAATAGACAAAAAAAAAAAAAATCTATCGATATAGGGGTGGCTGAGTCAGTAGAGCATGTGACTCAATCTCAGGATCATGAGTTCAAACCCCATGTTGGGTGTAGAGCCTACTTAAAAAATAATGATAATAAAAATATCTATTGATGTAACTGAAGTGAAATTTCATGGTCATCTTTCATTATTTTCATTCATAGGCCTCTTTGGGAGTAAGCAACACAGAGGACTTGTAATACTTTGTGGTTTTATCCAACATGAGTCAAAAAAGGATAAACCACAGAAAAATATTAAGGGCTCAATACAAATTCTGGCTTTGTTGGAGGCAATAAATATTCTGAAATACCTGAAAGTTTTTGAAATGATGTATAACTATACTTCTAATATAAAAATGAAAATCTAAAAATTTTCTGATCTCTATTATAAAGAACGACAAAACATTCAGTATATAAATACTTTGAAGCTATTTATTGAATATTTCTATTTGGTATCATCATTATCACTGTTTGAACTATTAGTGTCATCATAAATAGAAGTGTTTCTAATTGAAGATACCATCACATCGACAATGCTTTTTTGGGGGTTTTCTTCTAAATCAGTCTGTATTGCTCCAACTTCTGCTAGTTTCCATTCAAGTTCTGCAATAAATAACCCATCATTAAATCAGATAAAAATCTTGGAAAATGAAAATAACTTCTCATCTATATGAAACAGTAGTTGATGCTAATAAAATTAATGTGTAATAAGTGAGGATATATTTAGAGCTTGAGTGACAATGAAAATGTTACAGTATCAAAATACACATTGGATACAGCAAAGTTATACTTAAAGGGAGAAATTATGGCTAAAATCTTTATTTTAAATTGACTGAAAATAAGTGTCTTAAAAGTTCAAATGAAGCAGCTAGGAAAAAAAAAACAATAAAATAAATCCAGGAAAAGCTGAAAGAGAAATATAATGAAGAAAAGACTTAGCAAAAGTAGGAAAACAAAATCAGTTTAGGTGACCAATAAAATTAAAAGGTTGTTCTTTGAAGAAACTAATAGATATACCTCAGGCAAAAACGATCACAAAAGGAAAGAAACCAATTCATATAAATAACTTAAATGGGGCATAGCCAAGGTAGATTCTTTTTTTTTTTTTTTTTAATTTTTATTTCTTTATGATAGTCACAGAGAGAGAGAGAGAGAGAGAGAGAGGCAGAGACACAGGCAGAGGGAGAAGCAGGCTCTATGCACCGGGAGCCCGACGTGGGATTCGATCCCGGGTCTCCAGGATCGCGCCCTGGGCCAAAGGCAGGCGCTAAACCGCTGCGCCACCCAGGGATCCCGCCAAGGTAGATTCTAATATGGCTATGAGACTATGAAAAACTTATGCTGAGACATTTGAAAACTTTAATGGGAAAATTTTAACAAACATATAAATTACCAAAATATACCTGAGGGAGAAACCAAAAGAATTGAACTGATAATCAAAAATTCCAATTGAACTGATAACCAAAAATTCCAATCCCTACAAATTCATCATTTTGTTAAATTTATTCCTAAGTGCAGTATAGATGAACAGATCATTTATGAGGCAAATTACAAAACACACATTTGAGGAAAATTATAAAATATGTTACAAAATGTAATCTATAGGGATGCCTGGGTGGCTTAGAGGTTGGGTGTCTGCCTTCGACTCAGGGTGTGATCCTGAAGTCCTGGATCGAGTCCTACATGGGGTTCCCTGCATGGAGCCTGCTTCTCCCTCTGCCTATGTCTCTGCTCTCTGTGTGTCTCTCATGAAGAAACAAATAACATCTTTTTAAAAAATGTAATCTATACATCTATGAGGAAAATCACAAAATACATAAAAGACCAAGCTAAATGATGAGATACAGCTCATTCATGGATAGGAACATCCACTGTTATTGCATATCAAGTCTCCAACAATTCATCTATAAAAATGATTCTAATAACTGGATTTTTCATATAAGCCGACTAATTGCAACATTTATGTAAAATGTTGGAAAAGATTTGCCCTACTGAAGACTACTAGCTTGTTATAAAGCTATAGGAATAAACATTGATTCAGGGATAGACAATAGAAACTTCAAAAATAAATTGAAGCAGTTTTGGAACCATGAAAAATGACATTAGGAAACATTAAAAATCAGTGGGGAAAATACCTCACATACATTAGGATTGTTACTACAACACACACGCATATACACAGAAAACAAGTATTGATGAGGTTGTGGAGAAATTGGAATTCCTGTGCACTGTTGATGGAAGCATAAAATGGGGCAGCCACTATGCAAAACAGAATGCTGTCTCTCAAAAACTTAAAATAGAATTATTATGTGATCCAGCAATTCTACTTCCAAATATATACCCAGAAGAATTGAAAACGGGGACTAGAACAGATTATTTGTACATCTATGTTTATAGCATCATGATTCACAAAAGCCAAAAGGTAGAAGCAACCCAAGTGTCCATGGACAGATGAATGGATACACAAAATATGGCCTAAACATAAAATGGAATATTATTCAGCCTTAAAAAGTAAGGAGATTCTGACAAATGCCATAAAATGAATGAACCTTGAGGACATTATGCTAAATGAAATAAGCCAGTCACAAAAGGACAAATACTGTATGTTTCATTCATATGAGGTATGAATTGAAAGTAGTCAATTCATGGAGTCAGAAAGTAGAATGGTAGTTACCAAGACTGGAGGAGGAGAAGGGAATAGGGAGCTATTGGTCAGTAGGTATAGAGTGCAGTTATGTAAGATGAAAGAGTTCTAGAGATGGATAGTGGTGATGGCTGCACAACAGTGTGAATTTACTTAATGCTGCTGAACTGTATACTTAAAAATGGTCAAATAAGTCCTGAGTATGTAATGTACAGCATGTTAACTATGGTTAATAATACTGTATTATATATTTTTAAATGGTTAAGATGGTAAATTTCATGTTATGTGTATTTTACAACAATTTAAAAAATTGTTTATACCAAAAAATGCCCAAAAAACCCACAAAAAACATGGACCAGATAACACAATATTCATGATCATGATTGCCTGCTGAGAGATAGGAAGGGGAATGGGACTAGGAAGAAAATATAGGTAACTTTATATCTGTAATGTTTATTTGTACAACAAACAAATAGCTCAAGCAAACATGAAGAAATGTTCACATTTGTTATTTTTGGCAGTAATCGATTACATAAATGTTTGCTATATTATTATTTGTACTCTTATGTATTAATTTTTTTAATTAAAAGGATGAGGCTCAATGGCTTTAACATGGTGTGAGAAAAAGATTTTAATAATATAGATTAAAGCAGTTCCAAGAAATGACTAGATCAAGGATATGGCCTTGGAATGAGGTCAGGAAATAAAAATTACTAAAGAAATTAAAATTATAAAGTGCTGTGCTACGTACCGTGAAAAAGAAAATAAAGGGAATTAATTAACTGATAAAATCAGATAGTATGTGGATAAGTGAAAAATAAATTTTATAGAGAAAATATGCTACAGAAATTTAGGAGAGAAGAGGAAGATTATGAATTGGTCCAAAGTCATGTAATGAGAGAAATAGAAACCTAGGAGAACCACAAAGGAACAGGATATGGAGGAACAATAAAGAATGGTAGGGTATTTAGGGTCCAGGGCATGAGTATGAGACCAAGAATAAAGGCACAAATGAGTAAGATGTCTCTGCAGTAATACAGTTGGATTGGTAGGCTGAAATTCTTAAGCAGAAGATTCCGTATTTTTAACTTATTTGACACAAGGAACCTTTAAGGATTTAAGCAAGTAGATGTTGTAAGAAGCATATTACTATAGGAAAATTAATCGGAAGGCCTACAAGAAGAGATTAGAAGGGAGGGGGAAAATACCTTATGTTTTATGGAGATAAACTTTCACGATATTTGTAAATTTTTGGAAGTTTTCACCTGTTTAATATACATTTTAAAAATAGTATCATTACCTTCTAGCTTGAGATTTATCCCTCCACATTCTATAATTCCAATGAATTTGCCTTCTATCTGACCGTTTTTATAAACAAAAATTGTTGGTAGACAATTGTCATGGTAGTATTGAATACAGCTGTTCACGATGGCTTTAACAAACTTAGTTTCCGGAAACTTTCTTGCTAGGAGACTAAGATGCTGGTTAACCAACAAACACATTGGGATGCTAAAAAGAGAAACAGTACACAACATCTTTAAAAACACACTACTTATCTCTAATGAACTAAGTGAAATATCTACATGACAAAAATACATCTTTTTTTAAAAAATACATCTTTAGATATTCTTTTTTTAATTAATTACTTGGGGGGGGGGCTACATGGGGGGGGCGGGGCAGAGAGAGAACATCTTCAAGCCAACTCCCAGCTGAGCACAGAGCCCTATCCGAGGACCCATGAGACCAAAACCTGGGTAGAAACCAAGAGTCAGTACTTAACTGACTAAGCCACCCAGGTTTACCTCTTTGGATATTCTTTCAATATAACAGCATATCAACTCTTATCTTCTATTTTTACCTTTAGTAATGATAAACTGCAGAGCCCTACCATATTTATTGTAAACACAATTATAGCCTGGGAGTGAAGCTCGCTACCATGGGAATTTGATGCGTAACTAAGGCTAACCACATCTGACTTAGCATCAATTTAATCAAGTTAGTTCCTAGTTTACAGGACTAAGGGAAAACAAAACAAGACAGGACACTTCTAGGGAATCCTTAGTAGTTCTGTGTTGAAACAAAGGATTCCAACTCTTTTCACCACCTTGGGCTTATTTTTACATGAGATTATGACATCCAAAGTGTCTTATCTCAAATTTCTTTCTTTCTTTTTTTTAATCTCAAATTTCCTTGAATTTCTCCACCTCATCCACACTTTTCTTTGACATCCCACTCCATGAAGCATCCTATTTCCCATTATCTAGAACTATTCCCTATCAGATCTTTAAGGGGCTCAGTTGGAAGAACATGCGACTCTTGATCTTGGGATCATGAATTCAAACCTCATGTTGGGTAGAGAGATTAATAAATTTTTAAAAAATTGATTGGAAGTGTGACCAGAACCTGCAATTCTTCCTGCTATCATTTGACTCCCAATATACCCACTCTTCAATTAGTTCCTTTTCTCTCTCACTCATTCACAGCCTTATCAAACTGTTTCAGAGCCAATCCTTTACTTTATCCCATACACATTTCCCATGGGACCTTTCTCTGCTTGTTATTTTGCTCTCCCTCTTGTTTCCTCCACTTTCTATAAATATACTTAAGTTACTAAATTTTTAAGAGTTACTTACAACTCTGTGTCTCCTTCAAATAACCACTCTCTCTTGTTCATAGCCCCAAAAGAAAGGAAAATAATAATCTCTATGTTCTGTTCACTTCCTTTCTTGAAAGGTTTTCCCTTTTATTGGCTTTTGTGATAACACTTTTTTCCCCAGGGGAAAAAAAATGGTGGTTTTATTAAAGCACGGGGACAGGACCCGTGGGCAAGAAGAGCTGCTGTGATAACACTTTCTATTAATTTCCTTTTTACTTCTTTGACTTCCTTCTTCTGTCTGTGACTCAAATGTGGATGTTCTTTGTGATTGTGTCCTGGACTCTCTTATACTGGACACATTTCACTGTGCCATCTTATCCATTCTGATATAAACACTGATGAACTAAAAAAACAAAACAAAACAAAAAACACTGATGAACTTCATGTCCCCACCTCCCTTAAAGAAAAAAAAGTATATATGTATATATTATACATTTCTTCTGTATTTTCTTAGTTTGGCACAGAGGCCAAAAATCTCCCTTTTCTCTACATCTAATCGGTAATCAAATCATGTTGCTCCTACTTCCTTATCTCATACCTAACTAACCTCTCCTCTTTTTCTCCATTATCTTACTCCTTTCCTTTCTCAACTGAGCTTCATCAGATTGTCCTAAATGACCTGTTTCCAGTCTTAGTTACCCAAATTCATCCTTGACCCTTGCTGACAAAGGGAGCTCAGCATGAAAATCTCACCATGTAACAACTGCCCTGCTCTCAAGCTTAAAGTCCCTCCCTAAGTGGCTTTTCACTGTCTTTGGGATAAGGTCTGGGCTCCTCTGTGTAGCTTTCAAGGTTCTCTGTGGTCTCTTCGTCTGCTACCACATTACTTAAAGCAAGATGCTGTCTTATTTCTGTAATCTTTCTTTAAGCTGTACACTCTAACACATCCCACCTCATCCTGTCTACTTCCTCTTTGGGGAATCTTATTTTTTGAGGCCAAGACCAGGAATTACATACTCTGTAGAAAGTTCCAGACTTCCTTCCTCCAAGGATAAAACGTACTACCCCTTCTTCAGGAGGGGTAAAATTCAACTCTAGCACCTAAAAGACTGTATTGTTATGTTTAATTGTCTCTCTCTGCTATAGTGATGGCTTTGTATCTCCACCATCTACAAAATCTTCAGAAATCCTCTTAATACTAGATGATGTTATATATCAATTTATGGTGCAAGAAACTAAGAAAAACGAATTAAATGCATTATACGTTTAACTTACATTTCAAAATATAGAATGTCATTTATTTTGATAACTACAACCTTCTACAAATCTAGAGTCTGTTTTATTTTAGTGGGTGACCTATTGTAATATTAGAAAAGCATGAGCCACCTAACATAAATATCAATTTTCCACACAAAGCAACAATGTAAATTGCCTTTGTAAATTTCAGTTTTCCTCAAATAGGTGAAATGAATCCACTAATACCTAATTTAATGGAATTGTATCATTACTGTCAGAAGGAGAGCTAGATCAGTGGTAATGACAGACACTTATGGGGTAGGTGGGGTGAATGGCAGGTAGGTGGACATTGGTGGTGATAGTGAAAAGTGTAGAGTTAAGGGAGTGTGGTGTAACAGATTATGTGCAGGGAGAAGATGGTTTGCCTGAAAACAATTTTGACAGCAAGCGGTAAGGGAATACATTTAGTAAGGGGCTCAGGGGCCAGAATATACTCCCAGAAGAACTGTAAACTGTAAGGGAGACCTCTGACATTGAACATGAGATAAGGGCCTAGTTATGGTATTTGAGGTTCAAAATATGCATTTGGCATAAGAATGATGTAGAAGCCAAAATTGGAATTTGGGCACAGGGGTAAGATTGAATAAAATCAGAATCAAGGCTGACCTGAAGCTCAGCCACTAAGTTCACTGGCCCAGGATGATTAGATCCCCCTAGGGGACACTTGGCAAGCTGAGCCTTCACTTGGATAAAGAGTCAGTCCAGTTCTAGAATTTTAAAGGCAAAAAGACATTAAAATTACAGAACAGAGGAACCTAGTTCAAAAACAGACTCTTGGAGCATCTGGTTCAGTCAGTTAAGTGTCTGCCTGTGGCTCAGGTCATGATCCCAGGGTCCTGGAATGGAGCTCCGCATCAGGCTTCCTGCACAGTGGGAAGTCTGCTTCTCCCTCTCCATTTCCCACTGCTTGGGCTCTTTCTCTTTCTCTCAGATAAACAAAATCTTTTAAAAAGTGTTCCTATACATTTATAGAAGGCAGCTAAACATACAAATGTGTTTAACAGGGATCCCTGGGTGGCACAGCGGTTTAGCGCCTGCCTTTGGCCCAGGGCGCGATCCTGGAGACCCGGAATCGAATCCCACATCGGGCTCCCGGTGCGTGGAGCCCGCTTCTCCCTCTGCCTGTGTCTCTGCCTCTCTCTCTCTCTCTGTGACTATCATAAATAAAAATTAAAAACAAAAAAACAAAAAAAATGTGTTTAACAGTTATACTCCATTTTGCAATATGAAAAGTTATGAGTCAACCCATTATTAAAAACTAGGCTTTTCTAAGGACCATTGTCACACAAATAATTATTTTCCGTTTTACAAATTTGATTACATATTAGTTTTCTTCAACTGGGTGTTTTAAGGCAGCCCGAGTGGCTCAGCAGTTTAGCGTCGCCTTCAGCCCAGGGCATAATCCTGGAGACCGAGGATCGAGTCCCACATTGGGCTCCCTGCATGGAGCCTGCTTCTCCCTCTGCCTCTCTCTCTGTGTGTGTCTCTCATGAATAAATAAATAAAATCTTAAAAAAAAAAACCCACAAATGGGTGTTTTATACCAATACATGAATACATTTTCCTAATGTCAAGAAAATGATTATTGCATATAATTATCTTAGATTAGTTGCCTCTCAAAATATCTTCTGAGAAGGTCACAAATACTTAAAATATTATTTAAAAAGATATTTATTCCTTGAGTCCATCAAAGGAAATGAAAAAGCCTGGCTGAAACTGTAACACATTCAATCTCTCTCATGAATTTTTGAAAATTATTTGTCAAATCTAATAATTCTTCTAGAATTAAAGTAAGTAATTTTATGCTCTGGTATGGGCACTCAGATCCAACATTTATTCTGCTAATCATGCTGAGTCCCAGAAAAGATATTCAGTGAACCACTTTAGTACATAACATTTCTCACACACGGATTCCGTTATTGTAAACGTCAGTGTCTCTCATACTTCTTTGTGAGAAACCAAATCAGCAGCATTTACAGATTGGTTTCACCAGATAAGTGGTAAAGGAAAAATGGGAAGCAATTCTTTTTAAGGCTTTAAGCTACTCAAAAAATAATTAGCATTTTAGTGACATAACAGTAATGTCTTCTTTTACAGGACATGATATCCTCTCAAAATTTGTCTGAGGAATTGATGAGCTGGTAAACAGCAGGGCTCTCATTGGCATAAATTGCTCTGTACAGAGTTTCTGTGAGCACCTGGAGAGAGAAGACATTTTTTCTTCAGAGAATGAGATGAAGATGATGAGGGCCCCCGGGATGGCCTCTGTTCCTGGACTGGCTTAGAGCCCGGGCAGCGTAGCTGGGACCTAATGCTAGAGAGATTTGTGAAACTGTGGGAGCTTGCAGTGTCTCTGGGGCTTGGACTTGGGGGAATGTCCACTCAAACCAATTATCATATACCAGGCAGGTAAGGCCTGGGGACATTTGGGTTGTACTTAGTACAAGTAGGCACTATAAATTGTTTGGGGAGTATAGGGGAGTACCAGGGAATTGTTCTCTTAAAAGAGACTTAAGAGACATGATATATCCAAATGCACTGCGTGACCCTTGACTGGATCCTTCACCAATTATTAAGTTTGGAATTATTACTAATTTTGTTAGGTGAGGAAACAGTATTGTGGTTATATAAAAAATACCCTTATATTTTGAAGATGTGGGCCAAAGTACTTACGAATAGAGCTTTATGCTGTGTGTAATTTACTTTGAAATGATTCTGCAAATATATACACATTTATGTATCTACAAATGAAAACATAACATGGAGCCCCTGGGTGGCTCAGTCAGTTAAGCGTCTGCCTTTGGCTTAGGTCATGATCCCAGGGTCCTGGGATGGAGCCCCCTGTCAGGTTCTCTGCTCAGTGGGAAGTCTGCTTCTCCCTCTTCCTCTCCCTCTCCTTTTGTGTTCTCTCTCTTCCAAATAAATAAATAAATCTTAAAAAAAAAACCCAAAACATCAAAATGTTCATTGTTGAAACTACCTGGCTGGCATTTAGGGTGTTCATTTTTATTATTCTTTCTACTTTTCTGTATGTTTGAAATTTTTTTGTAAGTTAAAAAAAATTAACTGCCAAAGAGTGTTATTTTTCAATTTTCTTTTTAAAGTTTATTTATTTATTTAAATAATCTCTATATTCAACATGGGGCTCAAACTCACAACCCTGAGATCAAGAGTTGAATGCTCTTCTGCCTGAGCCAGCCAGTCAATCTGGAATTTTCTGGTTAGTACCAAATAAGGTAATCTGTCACATGGGCTCTTCATTCCCCAGAGGAAGATGAGGTGATAGGATCCATCTAATAAGAAACACCCCCCCACCCACCCCTGGCATTCCCCCTAAAAAAAGGTGACCTTGCCTAAAATAATCCTTTCTTTTCTTTTACTAATGACTTCCTGTCTCATCCTCCTTGGTATAAAAACCTCCCATTTTGTACAACTCCTTGGAGCTCCCCTCTACATGCCAAATAGAATGCTGCCTGATTCATTAATCACTGGATAAAGCCAATTAGATCTTCAAATTTACTTGGTTGATTTCTGTTTTTTGATGTATTATATATATCTTGATATATATTTGATATATTATATATATATGTTATATACATAATATGTCCTTTTCTTCAATAGTCTTTGTTATATGCTTGTAAAATCTCAAAACCAGACATAAGTATCTTAAAACATTAGTATATTAACATTTTACAAAAATACTACGGTAATTACCTTGATCTGTATAAATGAATTACAACTGATACATCTTTTTCTGCGTTTGTGACTTCATTCACATACTGATTTCCAGATATTTCTCTTAATTCCCCAAATTTTTGTTTTTTCCTAAGAGCTTTCCATTCCTGTAACCGCTTTTCTCTAATTAAAAAAATGAAATGAAAAAAAGAAAATTGTCATAGTCTTCAGGTCATTCCAATTTATAGTAACAATTTAGGTAACAATTTAGGTAAAAAAATGAAATGAAAAAAAGAAAATTGTCATAGTCTTCAGGTCATTCCAATTTATAGTAACAATTTAGGTAACAATGAAGGTAATGCTAGTACATATCAAACACTTTCAAGAATGACAATAACTATTAATAGTCTTATAATGCCAATTTCTCTTTTGATAAAAGGCATTTGTGTTATAAGTATTACAAAGAATAAAGAGTTAACTATTGACTTTTAAATTTATTTTTATTTAAGACTAGGTCTTAATCATAGCTATAGAGAGTTTATTTAGACATTGAGCCAACAAATTCTCATACACAGGTTAAAAACTTACTAAGGAAGTAATAATAATAGTTAATATCTATTGAGTGCTTACTATGTTGCCAAGCACTGGAAGTGCATTATATTAACTAATTTAACTTTATGAAGTTAGTACCATTATTATCCTTTTTGCATGCTCTTAACTATCATGCTGAGCTGACCTTCAGTCCAAAGCCTTTGCAAATATATGTAATTACTTGTTATAAATTTATTGCAGGAAGAGAAGTGGTAGAGTGAGAAGAGTGATTACTCTAAGGTCAGACTAAACTGGGTTTAAATGCCAACACCCACTTACGAGCAGCATGATCGCAGGCAAGTATTTAATTTCTCTAAGCTTCAGTTCACCAAGTGCAAATGGGAATGATATTAATACCTACTTGCATAGGATTGTTGGGGATTAAATGAGATAATACATGTAGATTTCTTTGGATGGTGCCTAGCACACCTTGAGCATTTAATAAATGTTACTTCATTATTTATCCATAGAGAACATTGAAATTTTGTTAAACAACTCAGAATTTGCATGCTTTTAGTTGTTGAATACTTGGATTCATGAAGCAAACTCAAATGGTTTCTGACACATTTGCTTTCTTAAAAGTTACTGATCCCTATCTCTAAGTTATCTGGGAGTATGTACTCCTTTCTTACTCTGTGTATTAGCTATATTTTCTGCATAATTAAAAAAAATTTTTAAAGTAGTCTCCATACCCAACATGGGGCTCAAACTCACAACCCCAAAATCAAGAATCATGTGCTCTACCAACTGAGCCAGCCAGGCCCTGTTTTCTTATTTTCTGTATTGATGCTCTGGCATCAGGGACCTTGCCAATCCTGGAGAGACTGCCTTGCCCAGGGCTAGGTAATTTCTAAAGATAGCAAATACCCACTGCAGAGAACATTGCTTAAAAGCAAACCAACCAATCCAGAGCCCAGTTCCTCAACCACCTCCTTTACTGGCCAGAGTCACTAATCCTATTCCCTAACCATTCCTGTGCCAGGAATCAGACAACTGGAGACAGCTCCTACAGTCCAGAGCCTGCCAAAATTATTCAAACTAGCCAATCCTAAATCTGCCCACTCTGTGTAACTTGCCTTTTCCATGGAAATCACAATGAGGAGTCGTGTCCATACTATCACCTCACTTTTTCTGCCTCTTAGCCAACTCTGTTGCTTCCTTCTATGGCCTTGCATTGTAGGGCAAGCCAGCTACTCTTGAGAACTGAATGATAAATTATCTTTGAAATGGCAAATATCTCCTATTCTGTTGGCATAACCATACCTGAATTTAATACAAAATCCTGGGTATATTTTAGAACACCCTGTCCTTACTTCATGTATTAGAAACATGTTAGGTAAAACCACTAAAACCACTCACTTTACATAACAAGTAAACCAAGCAAAATGAAGCCTAGAGGAAATTGCCAAGAATAGGAATCCAAATCTAAGGTTTTTTTCACAAGTTTCAAACTGAAGTCCTTCAATTTTCCCTCTACCGGTCCAGATATCCATAACTTATGGTTACTTCAAAAATCTTTTGGGAGCTCTATTTTGTTTGCAGTGAATATTTAGCATCACTATCATTAATTGCTTCAATTTTATCTCACTGGCTATAGCTACCAAAAATGTCAAAAAGTTTTTGTCCCAATGATGGTACCACACCTACTTAATGGTGTGACTGTCAACTATTTCACTTCTTCCTCTACTCCTGCACCTTCTCCTCCTCATTTTTCCTTGTTATTTCAGTGGAAGTGGGCAGGGAGAGTCACAGAAATCTGGTTTGGTTTTGCCATAGAAAGGGACATAGTGTTCAATGGCCTGCAGTCTTCACCTAACATATCTATTAGGATTCAGTCACAAAAACAGAAAGCCCTCCAGCTACTTTTAAATAGCAGGAAGCTTAATCTGGGGGATTAAGTGTTTTACACACTTGATGTAAAGATGAAGACTTTAGGCTGAGTTACCAGTAATGACTCCAAAAACAACCTTGAAAACTGGCCTGCCAAGGAAAGAGTTTTCTCTGCTGCAATCCAGAAACTGGGAAATCTGGAACTACTGTTTCAGTTGTGTCCTACTATCAACCTATACTGGAGATCAGAAAGTTACTGTTGTCTACTGGGACCTATCTCCTTTGCAAAGACTGGAAGAAAATATTTGTGGAAGACACATCTGATGAAGGACTATTATCCAAAATATACACAGAACTCTAAAACCTTAATGATAAAAAAAAAAACCTGATTTGAAAGTGGGCCAAGGACCTTAACAGACAACCCACGAAAGAATATATTGATGACAAAGAAGCATATGAAAAGGTGCCCTACATCTATGCCATCAGGGAAATATGAATTGAAACAAGAGACGACTACGTATCTATGAAAAGGGTCAAAATCCAGAACACTGACATCAAATGATTGAGAGGAGGTGAAATCACAGGAACTCTCATTCATTGCCAGTGGGAATGCAAGATGTATACCTTTTGGAAGACAGTTTGGAGGTCTCTAATATAATTAAACACCGTATGACCCAGCTATCATGCTCCTAGGTAGGTACCCAAAGGAGTGAAAACTGCGTCCACACAGAAGCCTGCACACAGGTGTTTATAGCAGCTCTAATATTATTTATCATCGCCGAAACTTGGAAGCAATAAACATGTATGTACTTCAATAAGTGAATGGATATGCTGCAGTATAACCAGATACTGTATTATTAGGCTAAAAAGAAATGAGCTATCAAGCCATGATAAGACACAGAGGAATCTTAAATGTGTATTACTAAGTCAAAGAAGCCAATTTGAGAAGGCTACATGCTGTGTGACCCCAACTATATGACAATCTGGAAAAGGCAAGACTATGGAGACAATAAAGATATCAGTGGTAGCCAGGGATTGGTAAACCGGGGAGGGGGTGGGGGGTTGGAGGGGTGGAGGGGAAGACTGGTAAATAGGCAGACCATGGAGAATTTTTAGGGCAGTGAAAATACTTTGTATGATCCCATAATGATGGATACATGTCATTATACATTTGTCCAAGCTCATAGAAAATACAACACTAAGAATGAACTGTAATGTAAACTCTGGACTGTGGGTGATTATGGTGTATTGATTGATGTGGGTTCATCAATTATAGTAAATCTAGTACTCTGGTGGGAGATGTTGGTAATGGAGGGAGGCATGTGCTGGGCAGGAGGTATATTGGTGTGTATATATATATTTTTAGGGAGGGATGGGGAATGAACAGTAACAAGTTCAGAATTTCTTTTGGGTTGATGGAAATGTCCTAGAATTAGATGGTAGTGAAAGTTTCATAACTCCATGAATATACTAAAAATCACTGAATTGTATGATTTAAATGTTAAAGTGTATAGAACTAAATACACACATTAGTAGAAGCAAAACTGGGCAACTGAATAATATAAGTAGATTCTATCAGTGTCAACATCTTAGTTGTGCTATTATACTACCATCTTGCAAAACAGTACCATTGGAAGAAATGATAAAATGTATATAAGATTTCTCTGTATTATTTCCTACAACTGCATGTGAATCTACAGAAGCTGCTTCAAAATTTCACATTCACCTACATATACTTGCTGTACCTTCATACACCTTCATACACCCACGTACATCTCTGTACCTTCCACTCAGTTTTTCTATGAATGTAAAACTGCCTTTAAAAAAAAAAGTCTTAAAATTTTTTGTTTTGGCTTTAAATGAGGAATTTGCTTTAAGTCACCACCATCAGGATGACTATGGACCTTTTCCTTGTTAATCACAACTTTTGAAAGGCTACAGGTTCCTTTTTTCCTTAGATCCAAAGTGACAGCACAGATATGAAAGTAATGCTGTAATTTGGGGGCAATTAGAACTGGACTTTTGATATGGAATATGCAAATGAGAGAACTTCCACATTTAGTGCCTCTCTTTAATCTCTGTGGCAGAGATTGGTTAGGTGCTTCCTCTTCCAGGGCTCACGGGAAAACTACATTTGCCAGCTTCCCTTGCAGTTAGGTTAGGCCCAGGAGCCTGGATTATGTCCAATAAAACAAGAGTGAAAGTGATATGTGCATTTCTGTGACTCACCCCTGAAATGTCCTATGCTATCACTTACACTATCTCCCTCCCTAGTCTCAAAGCCTGGAGGGAAAGGATTCTGACATGACAAAAAGAACCTGATGAAAAGAGCCCAGATCCCTAATCATCACCCAGAGGAGACTTGTTCAGGGGAACCGTAGGACATGCACCACCTGTGAATGAGGAACTCTGAAACCATTGAGATTGTATAGCTGCTGGTTACAGCAGGATTAATCACCTCCATAAATTCTGCTGACACAAATTATTACATTAGTAGGATTGCTATCCTTGAATAATCTTTGCATTCCTTAAATAAACTCTATTTACTATATACGATTATTTTAATATACTGTTTTATTTGCCAATATGGTATTTAAGATTTTGGAATCTATGTTTCAAAAGTGAGACTGCTCTAAAGCAATGTTTTTCAAGTTAAGGCATGTGGACATTCTATATGAGAATCCTTTAGGCATAGCAGGTTCTACAGATGGGCGTTTTCCTGAGATCCAACCCAAATTTACTGAATATTACCCCTTGGTGTT